TGGTCGTTGGATGGAGATCCAACAGCCATGTTATAACGCATGCATACCGGTCGTCCTTGGCGGGTTGGGTTGATCGCTGTGCGGCATGCGTGTAGGCTAGGTGAGTTAGGTCGTGCTGTAACTAGGTTAGGCTAGGACTTTTCCTTTTCTTTTTTGTTCTTCTCTTTTCATTTCTGTTTTGAATTCCAAATGTGCCTCAAATCCTTTCCGAAAATTTTATGCTTTGTCTAGTATTTAGGGCTTTTTAGGAAAATGATTTCCCGCCAAAATAAAATAAGCTTTAATTGAATTATTCCCCTTTCTGCATCTGAATTGATTCAAAAATCATATTCACTCCAATCTTTCTGGAAATTTTACCAAAGGTTCAAAATAATATTTTGGACCTGATGAAATACCTTTATGCCCAAATCAATTATTTAAATTTTCACCCTATTTTTGGAATATCAATTTATTCCCTAATATTTAGGGTTCCATTTAATTACCAATTTCAGTTTTTAGGGTTTTAATATATCCTAGGGATTTATGGATATTAATCTCGACCCAAAATATTTAACAAAAGTCACAAGCATATCTAATCGTGAAGGGCGCAATATGGAAATTTCGCTTCTTCACCTACACCAACAACCAGAATACCTTTTGTCTCTCTCTTTACGGCCTTTTAATGCTATTGTGGTTCTTGTTTTAATTTGGTGCTTCTATAGTGCTTGAACATATGCATTTGAATTATGTAATGGTGGTTGAATCTATATAAACTGAGTGTGTATGATGGAATGAAATATGTGATTGTCTACTTTCAAATCCAAATTCTAGAGAATTTTCAATTGCAGGAATTAAATCATGGCAAAAAAAAAACAGCTGCGTAGGTAATGACGGTGGTTTCATAGAGCAAAACATGTGGGATGAACCCCGAAAGCACACGGGTTCCGTCAAAGAGGCAAACATGTGCGATGAACCTCAATAACTCAGACGTTCCAAAGAGGCAAACGTGTGCGATGAACCTCTATGGCACACACATCTTGTTGTCTCGAAACATGTGTGACGATAGATACATCTAAAACTGCGCACTATTGAAGAGTGTGGGAGATAGGAACCCTTATCGCATATGTTTAGCTAACGAAAAAAACATGTGCGGCATAAATAGCACCACACACATTTTGCAGTTATTAAATGTGTGTGATGTGCGCCGCATCGCAAACAGGGGAAAAGCATAGTGTTTGTGATAGGCCTTTTATCGCACAAACTGTCTGACCGTCCTTGTTGTCGGGAACATCGCAAACATTGCGTCGGTATTGCGCGTGAGATAGACCTATCATCCCACGATCTCCAGAGACCAAACATATGTGGGATGTTGTTTGTATCGCAAACGCTTACATCAGGAATCACGTGTGCGATAGGTTCGGGCATCACATACGATTAGTTTTGCCAAAATGTGTGCATTTTCATTCGTTGTCGCGCACGGTTATCCCGTAGAAATTTTATGCTTTGTCTAGTATTTAGGGCTTTTTAGGAAAATGATTTCCCGCCAAAATAAAATAAGCTTTAACTGAATTATTCCCTTTTTTTGCATCTGAATTGATTCAAAAATCATATTCAGTCTAATCTTTTTGGAAATTTTACCAAAGGTTCAAAATAATATTTTGGACCTGATGAAATACCTTTATGCCCAAATCAATTATTTAAATTTTCACCCTATTTTTGGAATATCAATTTATTTCCTAATATTTAGGGTTCCATTTAATTACCAATTTCAATTTTTAGGGTTTTAATATATCCTAGGGATTTATGGATATTAATCCCGACCCAAAATATTTAACAAAAGTCACAAGCATATCTAATTGTGAAGGGCGCAATATGGACATTTCGCTTCTTCACCTACACCGACAACCAGAATGCCTTTTGTCTCTCTCTTTACGGCCTTTTAATGCTATTGTGGTTCTTGTTTTAATTTGGTGCTTCTATAGTGCTTGAACATATGCATTTGAATTATGTAATGGTGGTTGAACCTATATAAGCTGACTGTGTATGATGGAATGAAATATGTGATTGTCTACTTTCAAATTCAAATTCTAGAGAATTTTCAATTGCAGGAATTAAATTATGGCAAAAAAACAGCTCCATAGGTAACGACGGTGGTTTCATAGAGCAAAACATGTGGGATGAACCCCAAAAGCACACGGGTTCCGTCAAAGAGGCGATGAACCTCAATAACTCAGACGTTTCAAAGAGGCAAACATGTGCGATGAACCTCAATAACTCAGACGTTTCAAAGAGGCAAACTTGTGTGACGGACCTCTATGGCGCACACATCTTGTTGTCTCGAAACTTGTGTGACGATAGATACATCTAAAACTGCGCACTATTGAAGAGTGTGTGAGATAGGAACCCTTATCGTATATGTTTAGCTAATGAAAAAACATGTGCGACATGAATAGCACCACACACATTTTGCAGTTATTAAACGTGCGTGTTGTGCATCTCACATCTTGTTGTCCTGTCCGGGCAGCAACGTCGTCGTCATCGCGGTCCTTCTTGAAGGTGCTGCTTGGTACTCGGCGATTCGAGGGCATTGGAGTGTGACGGCATTCTCCGGTGGGCGCAGCGGTTGCGGGATGCTACAGCTTTCGTTGAGCCGGTGTTGCTCGCATTTCTTTCTCTTATTTTCTCTTTTTTCTTTTGGACATGATTGTGCTGTCTGCCCCATCATGGTATCGTTCGCTGTATCGGTGACGGTTGCTTTGTAATACAAAGCGGGGGGAAACCCTATTTCGGAACATGCGTGCTGTGCGCCGCAACGGAAATGGGAGAAAAGCATAGTGTTTGTGATAGGCCTTTTATCGCACATGCTGTCTGGCCGTCCTTGTTGTTGGGCACATCGCAAACGTTGCGTCGGTATTGCGCGTGAGATAGACCTATCATCCCACACGATCTCCAGAGACCAAACATATGTGGAATGTTGTTTGTATCGCAAACGCTTACATCAGGAATCACGTGTGTGATAGGTTCGGGCATTACATACGATTAGTTTTGCCAAAAGGTCTGCATTTTCATACGTTGTCGCGCTCGGTTATCCCGTAGC